GGAGGCTGCTATCCTTAAGGAGTGCACTCACACACTTTCGCCAGTGTTCACAGCTCTGTTTAACCAGTGCGTAGAAAACGGAATAATACTGGATTGTTGGAAAGTTGTCTCCATTACTCCAGTGCCTAAAAGAGGCACCTTAAAATTCCGTCCCATTGCATGTACGTCTGTTGTGTTAAAGCTTTTCGAGAAGTTGCACTTTCAAGGAATGTCATCTCAGCTGAATGTGCAGGACCAAAACCAATATGCGTACCGTCGCTCTCGCTCCACACTAGATGCCCTAGCTTCTCTGGTTCACTACATTCTGTCAGTACTTGATGGAAACAAGAAAGCCGTCAGAAGTTGTTTCTTGGATTACAGTGACGTTTTCAATTGTGTTGACAAGTCCATGCTGTTAAATATTTTGTCTTCCAACGGAGTATCGCAAACCATTACTGCAGTACTCACTAACTGTTTCATAAATCGATCACAGTTCACATGTTACCTTGGTCGTTCCTTCTCTTTCTTAATTTCTACGTATTACGGGGTGCCATTCTATCCCCGTTTTTCTTTTTCACTTATATTTCGTCCATGCCTACTTTTCAAAATTCCCTGCTCAATAAATATGCGACCGATGCTGGGTTCGTAATAGCCCACCCTGATGCATCTGTCACCCCCACCCTCCAACTTGGTGTTACTAACCTTGCTGAGTGGTCCACTGAGCATAACTTAACTCTCGATCCCTCCAAATGTGTAGACATGCTGTTCTCAGTTCACAGAGGGAATCGTTATGCGAATCCCCTGGAATCCTGTCCCACGTTAAACATATGAGATGATGCTATTGTCCAACCCCCAAATGTCAAGTATCTCGGTGTGTTAATTAACCGAAACGTATGATGGTCTGACAAAGTTGCTTTTTGTATTTGAAAAGGTCAGGAAACCATCATTTTATGTCTTACGACTGGAAACACTATCCGTCCTTCGCTTCTTGATTAAGGGTTTTCTTTTTAGCTGTATTTTACCCCTATGATTGTACGGGTCTCCAGTAATCTTTCCAGGGATGCTCAAAAAGGACTTTAAAGTTCTTTCTAGATCAATAACCCAAGAAGTAGGGGGATTTCCCGTGAAACTATCTGTCACTTCATCATTTCCCAACATACAAAGTCATGCTTTTCGTTATCAACGAAAATCATAGACAACCCTTCACATCCGTTACATCAGGATCTTATTAAATGTGTCCTCCTCTTCCAACCGGTCCTGCCATAATTGTATATTTGCTCGTACGACCGCCTATCGGTCTTCTGTGGTGCCCTACCTTGCCCGTTTTCTTATCAGCCCAGAACGCATCGCTTTGAAACTTAACTCAGTCATCTCCTAACTTGTTTTCTTTTCACCACTTATGATAATTCTGTCATAATTTGTTCGATAACTGTTGTTTGACTGCTGAATATCCACCTTTCGGGGTGCATCAGGCAAATACGTGACTTGAAACATTTTATTGTAATAAGAGGAATGTTGCCCAGAGAGCAGTTTTTCAATTGACGAGGAGAGTCCATTTGCTATGATAATTCGAGAATTCACGGAGGTGAAAGAAAAAACGAATAGTAGGCCACGATAGTTTCACTCCCGTATAAGGAAATTGCATAGATGGAACGCTAGGCATAAGCTAGCTACGCTAAACCAGGTGTTTCCCAGAAAGATACACAGTTGATTGAAAACTGTGAGCATTTCACGCACCACGATAAGCCCGGTGAACCATTTAGCGGCTGATTCATTCTTGCTTGAAATACTGCGCAGTGCACTTCCACCGTACGTGTTACGCCTCAGACCCGGAAGCATGGAGTATTAAATTCAATTGACTTTTTTATTTGTATACGATGATCTCCTGCTCAAGGATAAATCAGGTCAACTGATCTCACGGATTATCGCAACTCGGCGAATGGATAGGGTATCCGTGCAGATTACCATCCGGGATTGTTTTCAATGGTGGGAACCGTAAACATATTTAGTTCACACGGGTCTAAGCTCAGAATACCCGTCAAACAAATCACAAATCTATGTGAAAAAATCCACGAAATGCTTTTGGGCACAACGTTGCTAGGTTGCCCGGGCCACAGCAGGTGAATTTTCTTGGGGAATTCACAGTCGGAGCCTTTGAATATCCAAAGACTGACATGCAAGGCAGCGGGGCGGACTGCGAAAACCGCAGTTAATTGGTGGCCGGCGTCCATTCATCGGATCAGTCACTCTTTGGAGGGGATTAAAAGTTCAAGGCGCTCAATACACCCCGATACCAAAGCGAGCAGCTGATGACTGTAACACAGAGGAAGGTGTGAGTGTGTGGGTCGTTAACCGCTTTTTGATTGGTTAGGAATCAGGGTTTTTGGTCAACTGTCTTAGGTGAACTACCAGATAAAGCCCCTAATGCCGGCTTTTGAGCCACTCACTTTGGTGGGAAAACGCCCCACCCAAGGAGTATAGTGAGTAGTGCAGCGTCAGCAGATGCTCTTTCAGACACTTGGTGATATGTCAGCAATTCTCAAGGTGCAAGGGAAGGGTGACCAACCACAACCCGAAACACCCACTATCCACCATATTGAAGCTTCCGACAGCACTAATCCAACGTTTCAGAGGATTTCTAAACGGTAGTGCCATTCTGGAGAACGTGCGTAGCACAGAGTTTGTCTTCACAGAGCGGAGTTGGGATACCGTAGAACGTGTCGGAGCGACTGCAGTCACCAGTGTTCGAGGAGGATCGAAAGCTTTCCTCTCATCTCGTACGAAAGATATACTGTAGGAATAAATGGTCAAACACCTCTAAACGTCTAGTATCCTAATGCCCAAAATATAAACTGCACAACTCACCTCAACCATCGCATCGCTACATCCAACTACGAGTCGACCGTCAGAGATAAATGTCATGGACCAAACAGTGGCTGAAAAAAAACGAGTTCTGTGGTCATTGGCGTATCAAATGGAACGATATATAAGCGATAACATGCAAATTACCGTTAAAGAAAAGGTTATTACTACACAACTGAGGATCACGTCTATAGGAAACTCACATCGGCGGCGACTAGATCTTCGTAAGAAGGACGCGGCAAGACGGCGAACAGATAACGCATCGTTCGAAAACCTAATCGGTTGAATAAAAAAATTTGAAACAGAAATTACGTTGAATGTAAACCATGAAGAACGCACACAGTGAATACAAATACGTAAAGCCTGAAATAACTGCAATGTTGCTAAAAGCAATCACTACGCAAAGAAAGAGCTATTTGCGACAGCCTGTATTCAGCTGCTATGTATATATAGCTCGGGTTGCATCGTTCAAGAGAGAATAGAGGTATACATTCAGTGATTAATATACGTATAGTAACTTTTCGATCCACACTAGCACTACATAAATTGAATAAATGCGAGAGTGATTACCGGCTTTCCATGCGCCAGTGTTGTGATTGTGTAGTATGAGGGGCTTGTGCACCACTAACATTACTAGTGTGTCAATTGAAACAGTCCCCCAATCTTTCATAAAATAACGTTTCCGACTACAATGTTCAACTGTAACCGAAAATCTCAACAATAGTAAAAAGCCCACAACGTTCCTGAGAGAATCAAACGGGTTGACGACAGAACCAGACGAAAGGATGTTATCCTGCGATGTGACTCCGCTGTTCACAAATAACATACCGAAAGAAATAGTCACAGAAAGTATTCGAAGTCTGATATAGAACGAATGAAACCTGGAATCACGAACAACGCCACCAGGAGAAAAACTAATACAATGCATCGAACTCTAAATGGAATTCCAATACGACAGTGTTGTATCTCGCTAAACTATTACCGAATCTGGTTTAACTATGCGTATCCCAACGATCCCACTCAAAAGACAGTTGAAAACAGTTTTTATTGGTAGTGTTAGCCAAACGTGGATTCAGGGACAGAGAAAAATGCAATATATATGGGATTGATTACAGTCCAGTCATTTATCCGGTACCAGGGTTACGAGAGGGCCGATAGAGAGATTGCACGAACCAAGTTACCGCTCTCCGATCGACACGCGGACGATAATCCAAAACCTTGGAGAAAACGCCGACACATTCCCGCGCTGGCGAGAATTCTCAGGGGAAGGTTGGGCTTCCCCTGATACAAGGCATAAGAAAAATTGAATATCGGACTGTGAATACCATGTGTAGAGAACACATTCGCATTACTCGGAACTTCCACTACAGACCAGATCCTCCAGAAACCTAACGATACGGCACTAGATACCGAAATCACCTAAGAGGAAGAAAAAGCTTTCTTTCATCAATTCCCCGTCATGTTAACGAGATGGGAGAAAAGGAACCGCAGTCTACCGTAAACTGACCGGGACAGATCGCTTCCTAAATCACGACGAAAACCACACTTTGGATCATAGGAAAAGATGTATACAAAATGTATTGAACTGAGCAATTACACATTCTAGCATGACGGAGCTAAGCATAAGGACAAGGTAGACTCTTCGAATTATTCTCGCCTAACGCGTACGGAGGGATCACATAAAGGCATGCAACAGGAGTAAAAAAAACGGATAGGAAGCAAGGATTAGATGAACGCTACTCTACATAAGCGGCACATCGAGAGACACCGAACGTAAACTTCACCAGCTGAAAATCAAGGTAGCCGATAGACTGGTCGATACCGTGGAATCTCTCCTTTTCAACCACAAGGATTGGATCGGACAGCGCGAACATCCAGTCGTGATATTCGAAATCCCGTGCCTATGAAGGTGAGGCGGGGAAACACTTGCCTACATCAACACAAACCTCAGCTGAGGCTCCGACTCGAGGTCGCAAATCTAAAGCCACTATACACAGTCGGGTCACAAGATAGTAATTATTATTGCAAAAGTGTTGACGTGACCTATTAAAACAGAGAAACGACTAATTCTCAAAGCTATATATTCCATAAAATCGTCTCATTGGCATACCGAGGAAGACCAGTATTGTGCCACACTCGGATGAAACGTGATTATTGGAGAGATGGTAATCCTATTCCCATATTCACTTAATTTATCTTCATAACGAGTTTCAGTAATTAACGAAACGCTACGATAAATATCTAAACACATCACTGTGAACTCCATCAGCATTTTATAGGAACCGAACAATTAGTCGATTCAAATAAGCCGGTAATGGATCATCCGCTGGTCACCACAAAAATGATGTGATAAAAAAGCTAAAATGCGACCATTGTGATGTCTTACTTCGGAAACGGATGAAATTGTCAAAATGCGAGCAGTATTGGAAAAGTAGTTTAAACTGATATAATTGATCGAACTTTTTCCAAAGGGATCGAATGACAGCAAACGTATTTCAGAAGTTCGGAAGAAATCTATAGCTAAGGGTTACACAACCAACATTGAAACGATTCAATTAACGAACTTTATTGATTATCCCATAACACCGGAGGCTTTGTCCGGTGATTTGTGGTTACGGAGTTAAGCCATCCCACCGGAAGCTGCTGATCTCCTCCGAGTTTGTTCATGAGATCACATTATATCTCATGATCAAATATTGACCACAATAACATTTTATCATGGGGAGTTTATCCCACATCGATGAAGTCTAATGAAAGTCACTTGCCTTTGAAGACTGTTTAGAGCTAGACCGGAATCCGTGCTCCAAAGATTAATCGCATTTGGTGACTCTGAATCAATTAAAGAAGACTCTGAGGACGGAAAACAGCAATGCGCTGCTACCACTCCCTCTACCCTGACACCACCGTCATTTGTTGTATGCAGTAGTTTCCCGCAAGCAATGGTCCATTCTCGGAGTAAGATTGAATCCGACTCGGTGTCCCCGTCTGGGGAGTTCTCTTTAGGCATTCTGAGAGCTATTGTCAAAGGCAAAACACGGACCACCGGTTCCCGTCTAACTTGTGCACATGACCTGCAATGGAGGACCAAGATGAGAAGAATGAGTGCAAGGATTCAGAATTATTACATTGTTACCAAAATGAAAGAAGAATCTACAAAGTGGACAAAAGATTGCGAGACAAAAAGGAAAAAAATACAATTTGAATCTGGAAATATCAATCACACGAAATCGCAGTTAACCGGTAAGCTGACTAGCTTGACCAGCATACAAATTTAATCTGTATGCTTGTTGCACACTCAAGATCTGCATCTGATTCCAGTCAAGATCACCGTCTATTATGTAAAAAACAGATTCAATTCACCCTATAACACTGCAGCCATGTATGGTACCATTTATATTCTTAACCCTCGTTTTCGACAAATTTTATGCACGGAAGTTTATTTCACTAATGATTCCCACTTGACGCCAAACTTGCAAGCAATAGCTCATAGTCGGCAGTTGACAACCGGTATTTTTTCAGTGCTTTCAACTTGTACTTCGCTCATCTCATATGATCCTATTCGCAGCGGTCTTCTTTGCTTTTGACGGTCACTTAACAGCAAAGTCGGCCAGTAAAAAAGGTGTGTTCCTAGGTCACATAGAGATGGCTTCCAGTGTTCTTGGAACATGGAAACAAGGAATAATTCCACCAGTATGCAAAGATGGTTGTCGTAGTAACCAACTAATGACCACAACGTTACGCTCCTCCTCGTATTCTCCAAAGTCATGAAATTTATTGGTGTAGACAATGTGACGAGTCACTTGGAAAAACAGCATTTTATCCCCGGTGCAACATGGGTTTCGTCGCAGGCGATCGTGTAGTACTAACTTGCTTTCAGTCCGAGAGGAGTGGACAAAAGTGGTTCATCACGGTGATGCAGTGGACACAGTGTACCCCAACTTCTCTAAGGCATCTGACCGAGTGAACCATGAAATACTGCAGAGGAAACTACAGAGCTAGAAAATTCGGAGACTTGCACTGGGTTGGATAGAGGAATTTCTTCGACAACACATCATGGTGGTAAGGGATTTTGGATCACAATCTGATATTATCAGCGTAGTCTATGGAGTTCCACAGGGAGTTGTGCTTGGCCCACAACGTTTTCTAGTTTTAATGAAAAACTTAGCGGACCTTCTGCGGCCACAAGCGTTAATGTTTGCAAACGATGCAAAACTATGGAAAAAGTTACAAAACCTGCAAGAGAACATTTAGTGTTGTTTATCAATGGTCGAAGAGAACATCCGATTGGATGCATCAAAACGTACGGCCTTTCCCTTCGCCACATAACTCGTTTTCCGTAATCTCTGGTGTATCAACAACTTCCGTATGCCCGTATAAGAAGGAACTCGATGTTATCATTCAAGACGAAGTAAGTAGCTCTTTAAGCTTCTTCGGGGCTTCGTCCACCACTGCAAGACATGTTCGTTTACTAAAGCGAATAGTTGGCAAATTAAAACCTATGCTGTTTCCACGTTTGTTATCAGCCTACATTCGACCCCAAACAGAGTACACCATTCAGGCGTAGAATCCATGACTGCAATGTATCGTATGCTTTTTGAACGTCTACAAAGAGTGGCAACCGAGATGGTCAACGGACTGTATTATAAGACTAGCATGGAAAGACGGGCATCATTGGGTCTGTCCTCCACACAGTATCGCCGAATTCGAAGAGACTTGCTTTTGGTGTATCAAATAATGTAAAACCCTGAAAAACCATGTCGATTGCTGATCACCTTGTGGTGCACAAATGATACTTTCAAACGCCAACTAGATGAAACACTCTCAAGTCTTAGATTTTGACATCCACCGTAGAACAGAAAACATACATCTTTGACATTACTCATCTTCCTATGAAGCGTGAATCGATCCATTTGTACGAAGAGCCCAATGTGATAAAAAAGCAACCGCTTAAAAGTCCCTCCCATAATAAAACTTTGATTTTTTCCATAGGAAAGATTAACTGTGGAACACTGTCCAGTTTTCTTTTCATCTGCAACCTCAATTTTTTCAAAACAAGAATGCATCCCTTTGTGGGTCCCTTTAAAAAAATGATTTTTCAATATAGGGTTTACCTGTTCCAGTAAGAATAACGTCTGTTATAACAATAAGGGAACGAACCTAACCCGCTGTTTCTCTTATAATCAGTCAGTTTGGAAGGCTAAAAAGGTATGAGCTCTCACATAAATGGAGTTTTCAGTATAGACATGCACTTTTATGCAGCGCTTTCGGTTGTTGTCCTTAGGCTACACATTTGGATTAAACAGAACATTGGAAAGTTGTAAGTGAAGTCCAGGTAAAAGAATTCATGGAGATCAAGGTTGTAGTGAAATTGAGTGGATGCACAAGCACCAATGTTGACGGCACTTAGCAATATAATTCAGCCGTTTAAATCATCAGTTAAGTCGATGCCGAGGTCGCCATCCAGGAGGACCAACGCGACCGGTGTGATCGCGATATTTATACTCTCACGCCAGGTCTTACTCT